ATCGGCCAAGACATTACCAGTATTCTGGCGCTTAGGCGTGCGCCCCTGACGGAAGTCCTGGAGCCGAGGATGCACCTTGATTTCACGACCAAGCCAGTTATCTCCTCGCCACTGTCTTCAACCAAACACCACACTTAACGACATACACAAGCGTGAGAGGCCATTGGATGACAACAGTCATCCTTGCTTTTCTTGTACAGGCCTTTCCATATATAATCGCTGTCAGTGTGAAATCGACTCCCAGGCAACGTGCGGCGGAGAGCGAAACACAAGGCAACGAGTTCAGCTTCATTGCTGGTTGGGAGGTGCCCGATCAGAGGCACAGAAGCAATACAACATGGCTCGCGAGCAAAAGGCATGAGAGCAGCAACAGCCCGGCCTGCAGCAGAGAGACGTGGCCAACCTCGTTCGAAGCCAGACCCATCGAGAAGGATGTCGCCTGCGAGCTCTTATGGGGATCCCATAAACCAAACCTCTTGGTACACTCCAGAGAGATGGGGCATGGTGACCTCGGGGAGAGGAATCAGACAACGCCTGACCATCACGATAGCATCAGGAGAGCTGACGGCGGCAGCGCTGAGCCCCCGAACAAAGGATGGCGGTTCCTCTCCTGCGATCTGGGTGCCGGCTCAAGAGGTGTGACGATGAAGCAGGTTGCCACAGACCTCTTCACGCACAGCCAAACGCACTCTGCAGTAAGGCTCTACTTCGTAGCCACAACCCCATTGCCGATGCTGAAGCCCCTGCCACCCCCTCAAACAAAGCACGAGCGAAGGTAAGCTCGCTGCTCAGGGGGTGCTTTGAATGTTCAACACTTAACAATCGGCTGGATAAGAAAGCCCAGGGAAGACTCGGAAAGAAACATATGCTCGGCTACCTGTCGACTCTGCCACAAGTAGCACGCTTGCATGACCACTTTCTGCACCTCACTTGCACACATGCCAGTGTGGCCAAGAGTCATTCGCCCAGGAAAAGTCCACTCAGACCTGCAATGCACAAACAAAAACGTTTGCCCGAGCAAGCGTGGCATACAAAGCACTAAACGGGCCCCGAATGGCAGACCAGGGTGATGCAAGCCCTTGGAGATGCCGCGAGGGTGCAAGGATCGCCGCCGAAATATAACGCTTCGGGAGCCATTCTTCCCAGCAGGCCTGCAGCACGAGCTCTCCAGTGAGCCAAGTGGCCCTAGCAGTCGGATCAGGCTGGCGGGCAGGGGCAATCATGACAGCAAGCGTCCTTGACCGGCCGTCGGGAGGATGATCTTGAAGCTTGCCAGCCACAGATCCCAGCTGGTCCACTTCACAGTTGTTCAGGCCGAGCACTGATGTGCCATAGGTGACAGCGCCTTCCAAAGCAGCACGAGACATGGTGCCAAGCGTTTCACGAACACGGCCAGCAGCAGCATCCACTCCCAAGTTTCGCTCAGTCGTAGCCGCCTGATCGCCAAGCAAGCTGAGATGACGAGCCAGGGCCTTCTCCGACGAGGTTAGATAGAGCACGGCTTTTGTCCACAGCGATGCGCATCTCAATCTTGCTGAGGAGCTGAAGAAGGAGCCGCGACGCGCCAGAGAGATCAGGAACCACTCGAGCGCTGGTACCATGTCTGTGCCAGCCCAAGTCATATTCAGCATGACACGCCTACATGCAGCCTGCCCCTGGCGAAGCGGACCCATCAAACGCAGCTGAACCATGACTCATGACGGTCGCGAAGTGGCAGCCCAGTACGATGGCCTGCTCGACCATGATCAGATCGCTGACAACACTTCGCATGTCCAGCGTGCGTGGCATACGGCACTTGGAAAATCAAGAGCTTGAGCATCCATAGCGGAAGCCCACTCACGATGGCGGCCTGAAGTACGCGATGGTGTTTGACGAGCTCAAGCGCTTTCTTGAGATCGATCGACACGATTGGGGTGGACATGCTTTTGTGGAGTACTCGGATCACGCACTGGATATCCGTATATTCTTCTCAGATGAGCGACCTTTAACCGACCACCAAAAGCTCTGGAAACTCGCATTCTGCCAAACCTTGACGAGGGGCCTTCGGAGCCTACATTGGATCTTGCGGTCCCAAGAGGCCGCACACAACCCAGGCGCTTCAGGATAAAAAAAACAGCATCTAAGAAGAAGGCCGCTATAGGTCTCTTTCAATGCCCCGATGATATCGGATAGTATGGCTAGCGCTTCACCAGGTAGCAGAAGAAAATGCTTCGGAGACCGTTGATCATACCCCGTCCCCGAATATGCCTTGAAGGTTTTGAGGACTACCTGAAGTATATCGGCCGTGGGAGGAGGAGGCCAGACAAGTTAAGGATGATGGGCAGAAACCTGCCACCACCTTCCACTCACGCTGAAGAGCAGCCATCTGCTCACGAGACGTAGCGGGCCTGTGCGTACGGTATTTCTCTGCAAGAGGGTTGCCAGGCCGTGGGCAGCGACGAATAGGAGTACGAAGCAGACGCACCGTTTTCAGTTCTATTCAATCTCTTTCTGCCTGGCAGCCCTCTTAGCCTCGGAGTCAGCAGCTGCACGAGACCAGAGCAGTAGCACCTGCACCACGGGCTCAGGAACATATCGAGCAGGCCCTGCGCATCAAGACCAAGCCCAATGGAGGTTCCCATCAGGTAAACATGCGACCTGGAGGGCGAGCGGAACCTATTGACAGCATTCTCCCAGACTTGCACCTTACCCGTCGGTCGTTCAAAGTAGGTAACTCTGGATTCGCAGATCCCAATCTACTTCAAGCGCCTTCCTACTTCAAGAATCGGCATGCTTTTGCTGTGTTCTGTTATTCTCTGGGAGGACCTGGACCCAATCTACGTTATCCGCCATCCTACTTCATGTTTCTACCTACTTCTTCTGACCGGCGTGTACGTATGGGGAACCAGGAGATCTTCGAGGCCCATTGTGACCTTCTTCCGCCAGACGCCCAGCTGAGACACTCTCGGGAACCTAGGAGAGGCCCGGGGCGCCTAAGCGTCTTGCCTGTGGTGCGGAGGTCCTCGGAGCACCCAAAGCTCTTGTGGGAGTCCTCGGGGGGGCTCTGGAAGAGGTTCGGCCAGTCATCCTCTCAAGCACGAAGGATAAGCTCCCGAGCCTGATCCACAGAATCAGAGGCATCCAGCTGAATACTGATGAGACTCCACTTGTCGATCGAAGGAGGCATCGAGCAGCCAAGTGTCACTGCAACAGGAAGCCGCCGAGGAACCTGTACAACTGGAAGGGTCGCACCTGCTGGCATTGCTTCGAGCTGCAACTCAACGGGATAGTGCGGAGCAGTGGTAATATCGGCACGAACTTGCACAACGAATTCTCGCGCAAGCGAGAAACTTACCATAAAACCGTCTATGGTGTTATTCGCTGGCCCTCCTCCTCCTCGTCTTCGCCTCGTCTTCGCCTCTTCTGGGCCCCTCGTCCTGCTCATCCTCCTCCTGCTCCTCCTCCCCTCCTGCTCCTCGTCCACCCCCTCCTCCTCTCCCTCCTCCTGCTCCTCCTGCTCCTCCTCCTCCTCCTCCTCCTCCTCCTATTCCTCCTCCTCCTATTCCTCCTCCTCCTCCTCCTCCTCCTCCTGCTCCTCCTCCTCCTGCTCCTCCTGCTCCTCCCTCTCCTCGTCCTCGCCTCTTCTGGGCCGTCTGGGGGGAGCCCCTCGTCGCCACACGGCCAGCCACCCCTGCCCCCCGCCCGGAGAGGCAGTGCCAGGCGGCACCAGGCCTGCGCCCGACCAGGAGCGGCTGCTTCTGGGGACGCTGCGTGCCACGGGCCGGCGACCGCAGCCGCAGCGATCTCGCGCGCTTGCTCCGCCTCGTGGCGCGGGACCGCCTCGCCCTCGCCTTGGGCCTCGATCCGGCAGCGACCCGAGGCGTCTCCTGTTCGCCCTGCGCTCCGTGCGGCGTTCGACCGGACGGCACGGCGATCTGGGCTCGCTAGGTTCGGCCGTGCCCTGAAACGTTTCCTTGTCAATCCCTGTGGCCCTGGCGGGACCGAGAGAGCCCCAGGTCGGAGTCCACGGCAGCGCCCGAGAGGCTGTGCTGGACGACCCGTGCTCTGCGCGGCCGTTCCCATCGATCCCAGGTTCGTGCGGGCCTGGGAGGGGGGAGCCTGTCTTTCAGGCTGCAAATGGTGAGAGCCCTATGTGTCCACGAAATTCAGTCTCTGGAGCGCAGAAGCTTGCGATGGCGTCTGGTGGCCGATGAGAAAGCGCCAGTTCATCGTCGAGATTAGCGTAGATAAGCGTCGATTCGCGCAAGGGCCATGGGAGGCTCCCATGAGTTGCCACAAGATGTCTTTCAACCGAAGAAGGAAAAGCTGCATAAGCATGAATTTTCGGAGCCCAGCGCGGATTTGTTGGATTGGCGCTGGGCCCTCTGGCGGCGCCTCCAGCACCGCCCCTGGCGCGCTCCGCGCACCTGTGGCGGGGGGTCAGCGCCGATCCAAGAAATTCGCGCGGAGCTCCAACTGTTTATGTTTGTGTGTATGTATGTATGTATGTATGTACGTATGTATGTATGTATGTATGTATGTATGTATGTATGTATGTATGTATGTGTGTGTATGTATGTATGTATGTATGCATGCATGCATGCATGCATGTATGTATGTATGTATGTATGTATGTATGTATGTATGTATGTATGTGTATATATATATATTCTTCATCCCATCCAAATCAGTTCAAGATGCCCAAGGGCGGGCCTGGATTCGAGGTTCGTCTGGTCTTGCACACTTTGTTTCCACCATTGCCCCGCCCCAGGTTGCGAAGAAGTTGACAATGGCTCTTAACAGCGTGACTGACCTGAACGACCCGGACCAATCGGAAAAAAGGTGTTGCGCATCCCAAATCGAAGCCGTTTCATTGGCACTGCCACCATGTATGTCACCCTTCTTGTTCCTTTGACTCTTCACGCTGCGAAGGCTAAAGCAATCGACAACTGATTCCTGATGTAAGCGACTTGACACCGCCCTCGCTTGTTGCAGCAAGTACCAGGCAGGGTAATTTTGGCGGGCGTAATAGTTGTGTCGGTGGCCCATGGTTCCGCATCCTTTTGGCTTGTGGTTCCAGTGCCCCCCTGCAGTGGTTCTGACGGTACTATGGGGCCGCTGATTCAGGAATTGGAGGAAGTAGAGGAGGCTGGTAGCGGGGGATGGGGAGGGAAAGACGACGGGAACAAATGTATGCAGGGAAGGAAGGAGTGGACACACGTATCTGTACGTGTGTATATATATATGTGAATGTATATGTACATGTTAGCCAGCGTTAACCCCAAACAGTGAGTCGTTGCATTGTGGAGGCTTAGCGGTTTAAGGTAGGCGGTGAAAGCCATGTCGTGTAAGCTATGTTGTGTGAACTGCGGGGGTGAAAGGTACACGGTGTAATATGTGTGTGGCGCAAATATTGTCGAGTCGTGTATGTGGTGTGGTCTGGAGGTGCACGGTATGCGGTGTAAGCTATGCGAGAACACAATGTAGTGTAAGTTATGTGGTGGAGGCTATGCCGTGCAAGCTGTGCGGCGCGAGCTTCAAGTAGACGCTATGCGGTGCGAGCTATGCGTTGAAAACCATATCGTGTAAGCTAACGCGGTACAAGCTATGTGGTGTCAGCTGTGCGGTGGAATCGCGGCGCCCACGAGGCAGCACGGGCGGCAACGTGGCGATCCACCGGAGAACCCACCCGGCGCATGGGGCACCCACGAGCGCCCATTTTGAAAAACCGCAGCCGAAGCTGACGATTAGCCTTCGCCGTGTGCTTCCGATTCCAGAGACTGCGTCCCGGGGCGCGCTGGGTTCCGTCTTATCCTTCGGCTCATCTCCCTGGAGGAGCGACGGCTCCAGCGGCCAATCGGCGAAGAGGCCTCTGGGAGGCCCCCTGGGGCCCGACGAGGCCTCCGAGAGACTTCAACACCCAGAGCTTTACAAGAAGGCCCAAAGACCATAGAGTTTCCTGATGGAGCGTGTTCCGGAGAATGCGTCCCGGGACGCGTTTGGTTCAATCTTTTCTCTCTCAGCCGCCCTCCGTGCCTGCGTGCAAGGCAAGGCCCATACCGTCTCTGATGCAGCTTGTTCTGGAGAATGCGTCCTGGTACGCGCTGGGTTCCCGCTTCTGCTGTCGTCGCCCTCTTACGTTTTTCAAGCTCTCGCCTTCGCCTCAGATGGGCCCTTCAGGCCTCAAGCAGGCGCATCCTGGCCGGCCTCCTGGTTCTGTTTTGGGGAGCTGCTCCTGGGGCTTCCCGAGGGCATCTTAAGGCCGGCAAGGGGACGTCTTTGGGCTGTGTTGGGAGTTCCTCCGGCGTGTCGGGGGTGGAGCCAGGCCCAAGACGCTCCCAGACGCAGCGTGTTCCAGAGGGTTTCTCCCATAACTCGATCGGTTCGAGAAAGCCCAGCGAGATCCTACAGCCACCGCGATGCACTAATGCCCAAGACCTTATCTGAACGCCGCAACGTTTCCAGATGGGGCCTTTTCTGGAGAATGGACTCAGGGCGCGCAGCCGAGCGACATCAAGGGCCGAATATATTGGAGCATGTGCGACTAGATCCTAAGCGCGTGGTTTTAGTATGAGTGTGTGTCATGATGTGCACAATGCCATATACGTAGAGAGATATCGGCCAATCTATTTTTATATGTATACAGTGTGTGTGAGAGAGCGAGAGAGAGAGAGAGAGAGAGAAATCAATAAAGAAATAAGCATAAAGAGAGAGAGATAAACACAAATAATCGAAAGAGAGAGGGATATAATGATATATACAGAGGGGGCGACATACACATACATATATATAGAGAGAGAGATGGATGGATGTAGAGAGAACCAACCTATAAATATGTGTATCGGGAGAGATAGAGAGAGAGAGAGACGCGGGAGGAAAGCGAAAGGGAAGTGGTGGCGGCATGGAGGGAGGAAGGAGGGAGAGCGGAGCGGAGGGGAGGGGAACGGCAGGGTGGGTGGGGGAAGGGGTCGGCGGGTCTAGGGTCTGGGGGAACCTGGCGTGTTGACTGAGCTCCCGCTAACTGCAAGTAGCCTCGATCTTATGGGACTCCAGATCTTTCAGCGAACGGGAGGCGGAAACGGAGGAGTGGGAGGAGGAATACCAGGCATGAGGAGGGGATGAGGCGGAGGAGGATGTGGAACACAGTTTGTTGCAATTGCTGTTTGCTTTTTTGAAGTTGGCGAGTTTTGCCATGCGTGTCAGTGTTCATAGTGCTACTTTCAGCATGTTGTTACCACTGCGCATGCACTCACACGTTTCTTGCGAGCTTGGCAAGGTGGCTCTCCAGACACGCCCAGGCCCTTGAGGCACAGAGATCACACCTCCGGGTTACCTGCCTGAGAATCATCGCGAACCAGAAGTTCGACAGCTTTCTGGGCTTCGTCATAATCCTGAACAGTTTCTTCATCGGGCTGGAATCATTGACGGTGCTGGCCTCAGCCTACCCTGCTGCGGTGTCTGACCACAGAGGCCTCACGAGTCAGGCACGCCGGTCGCTCTCATGCTGTCTTCGCGCGTGCGGTCGTAGTCGGGACTTGTTCTTGATTCTGTGCGACTTGCCGCTTAGATCTCGGGTGCACGCGCCCACGGGGAGCTAAGATCGTGCACCCTTTGCGAGCGCGACCCATGGATTCCAGCTGGTCGCTAAGGTTCCAGCGGACAAGCGCGATGCGACAGTGCTGAATCCGAACAAGGAAACATTGCCATATCTCGTAGCGGAGACCATATCAAAGACGCCTATGGCAAAATTACCGCCGCGCCCTGCCCTTTTGAAGCGCTTCTGTGGCCAATCGTTGTGTTCCCGCTTGGCCAAACTACCGGACTTTGTATTCCTTCCAGCCACTCTGGAAACACATCGGGGAAACTTCGGGAGAGGCTGGGGGAGAGGATCAGGAGTGGTAGGAGGAGGAGGAGGAGGCGGAGGAGGAGGAGGATGAGGAGGAGGAGGAGGAGGAGGAGGAGGAGGCGGGGGTCTCTTGCGAGCCTCTTGGGGCACTCTTGGGGTTTCCCGGGAGCTTCCTGGGGAGCCTCTCGGAGGCTTTTTGGGGTTTTTGATTCTCTCGGGAGCCTTTGGGGGCTTCTTTGGCCGTCTTGGGGCGTTCTTGGCTCATCTGACGCCGCCGGGAGCCGCTTTGGGGGCCACTCTTGGGGCGCTTCAGGGCCATCTTGGACGCCATCTTGGGCGTTTTCCTCTTGCGCCGTCTTGGGGCCCTCTTGGGGCTGTCTCGGGGGCCTCTTGGACCGTCACGGGACCATTTTGGAGCCTCTTCAGTGCTCTGGGGGAGATCTTGGGGGCCTCTTGGGCCGTCTGCTTTTAAGTTCAAGGGAGCTGCTTAGCTGGATAAGCGAGTGGGAGCAAATCAAGAGCGAGCACATAAACAACCATGTATTGTTTCGTTGCTGGCATCCAGATGTGACCAGTCAGTACGACTGCTATCTGAGTAACGGAAACATGCATTTAACATCGTCACATCATGGCGAGCCTCAGCCCTGACGCACTTCTCCAACTTGGTAGCGGAGCTGGCTACACACTTGTGTGGCTGGATCTGTTGCTCACACTTTTCCACGGCACTATATGGATGGCCACTGCGGACTCCCATGCGCCGACATCCCTTCGGGGAACAGAGCCAGGAAGCTGGCGTGGGCAGCCTGGCAATGGGCGGGTGCTCGGCAACGGGCCTGCGCCTGGCAACGAGTCTACTGCGACTGCTACGCCTCCGGCGCAGCGCCTCCAGCGCTTTCGCCGCCTCGGCCTCGACATGCGCGACCGCCCGGCGCTCCTCCGCCAGGTCGTCGGCGGTCGCCTGGCGCTTGGCCGCTGCCGCCTTCTGCGAGCCCGCGGCGGCCTGGACCCGGACCGCCCAGGGCAGGGATGCCTGGGCAGCGAGCTCCCACACGCGGATCTGCTGGTCGCACTCCGCCACGTCCGCCTCTGCCGCAGAACGCTGGGCAGCCGCGTGGCGCTCGCGCCAGTAGCGGAGCTCCCGCTGCGCTAGGCTCAGCTCGGTGGCAGGGGCGCCTGGCGAGGTGCCAGCCGCCGCGGGGGGGGGCATCGCCACATCGCCAGGCGGCGCCGGCGGCACCGGGGGCGAAGGCAGCAGGCGCTGCACCATGGCCGCGTACGAGACTGTGCCAGGCGCCTGGCCACCAGCGCGCCGCTGACGGCGCTGCCCAGCCGCCTCCGGCGCAGGCGCACCCTGGCGCGGCGGACACTGCTTGGCAGCTGCCCGGGCGGCATCGGCGATCCGCCTCGGCGCAGGCTTGCCACAGCCCAGGCAGCGCACGCGGCAAGCCCAGTTGCCCGCGTGCCCGCATGGGCATCCCCAACATGGCTCCCGCGGCCCCGGGAGCACTGCTGGATCTGCCCTGCATCCGGCCCCCGCCGCGCGCACGCGGATTACCCTACGCGCGAGCCCTGGCGCCCGGGCCGGATGGCTGCTCCTGCCCCGCTGGCTGGACAGATGTGTTTCTTGAGCCATAATGGCTTGAGCCAGAATGGCTCTACGTACCCCAGGAGCTTCTACCTCGTTCACCATCGGGAGTGCGACGGCAGAAGGTGATGAGATCATTAACCATTCGGTGGTGCAGCAACTTGGCGAGAACTACCAGCACGACGAGGAGGCCAATTTTCAAGCTGTCCAGAGGCGCCAGGCGACTGGCTCAGCTGCACGCAGCTCCCCGGCATCACAGGGGCTCGTGCAGGCTACCGCCCTTATATTTGCAGTTGACAGTACATCGGGTGGGGGGTGGTCGAATCAATGGATGAGAAAGGCTTGGGCAAGCGGGGGAACGCATCTGCCATTGTGGAACAGGCCAAGGACTCCATCAAGGGCGTGACTCATTACAAGATCAACCAGCGGGAGACCGGGGAGAGTGGCCCTGTGCATCAATATGTCGGAGACTCAGAGCAGGGTG